TTAATTAAAATGAATCAAGGGACTTCTAATAGATCATGCAAGAGTAACAAATAATCAAGAAAGGGAAATCCTACGGGCAACAACATGTATCAACAAGCTTAAGCAAACACATATTCAAGTAGGCAAGTATTTATTAATGTGCAATTGAACAAATCATGAAACTTAAATGATCAAGCATGTAAACAAACTAATCATTAATCCATGTAAGTACTGCCAAGTGAGAATAAATAACTCAAGAAATATCCACAAGTGTCATCCATATCAAGCAATGGACGAAAGAAATAGAAAGGCCCTAAAATAGTCCCAAAACAGCAAGAAAAACACAAAAACTGCCAAGTGTAACCGATTACTTGAATCTGAGTAACTGATTACCACATTCAAAATTTAAGTTCCAAGGCACGCATCAGAGGTGGTAACTGGTTACCCGATATTACATAATTAGTTACATTGTGTCAAACAGCAAAAAAACCAACAGAAAAAACTTATTTCCAGAATCACTTATTTGCACAATCTCAGAATACTAGAGCATGTAATTGAACACGAAAATCACAATAATTACAAGCAAGCAAACACCAATACATTCAATAATGTGAATTAATGAATCAAACAACACATAAATCACAAGAGACTACATTGTAAACAATGCAATAATTTGAAAGAGTACATTCAATCATGTGAATTAATGAATCAAACAACACATAAATCACAAGAGACTACATTGTGAAAAATGAAAAATAAGTTGAAAGAGTGGAGTGTTAGATTAAAAAATTACCAATCTACAAAGCTGAGATTTGCCTTGACAATTGTTGCAAATAGAAAATGACGAGGATAGCTAAGAAAACCAGAGATCTAAGCAGCTCCCCACAAGAAAATTGAAGAACAATGCAATGAACCGATCAACTCCGGATTTTCTTCAAAAATCACTTACAGAATCAACTTCCAATCTTAGATATGAAGTAGAACCTATTGTTGATGTAGAACTTGATATAGAGGAAGTGATGCAATGAAGGTTAAGTTCAAAGATTAACAAGCTTCAATGAAAAACTTTGTTAACTATAATGGTGGAGCTTTTGTGAGGTTGGCGAAGATGATGAAAATGGAGAGAGTGTGTGAAAAACTCAGCAAAAGTAGGAGAGAATAGAGAGTGTGATTGTAGAAATTCTGAAATTTGGTTAATAATGGTCCCCCTTGCGAGAATGAAAAGGGTTTATTTAAATAGCCAATAGGCATGGAGCAAAATATGGCTTGGAAATTGGCTTGGGGTGAGGTTTGGATCTAGGTATGAAGTTAGTTAGACTCAACTTAGCGAGTCGAATCAATAACTCGTTTAATTACCAGTTGACTCAGTTGTAAATAACAAGATCACCTGGTTTAAAATAAGGGTGTGTATGATAGAATTTAATTGGAAATAAAGTGGGGGAGCAAATGTGGACTGATATTTGCTGCAATATAGCATGGTTATAGAATATTCTCAAAGCGCATGAGTGAAGCATGTAAATGAATGAGAGTGATAGCTGTTGTTGCACTTGAAACACACTAAATTTGGCACAAAAAAAATCCAAGTGTAAAACCGGTTACAGAGAACATGGTAACCGGTTACCAAATTCAAAATTTCAAATCTGACACCTTCTAGAGGGGTGGTAACTGGTTACCACAGTGTAAAAATGTGAAAATTGCCTTGTTGCGACCTGTTATAAGCTAGGCTTCCCATATGAACCTTAGCCTTTGATAATGCCCTTGAATAATACCTGAAATACAATGAGTGACCTGTCTCGAACCCTGGATAATCTCTGACCGGCCTAAATTCCAAGTAATCTCATACAATCTCTGAGCAAAATAAATTTTAGAGATTTCTGATGCCGTCGATCTGGCTTTGAACACCTGAACTAACAACTTGGCCTGAACCTGAAGGATTGAGACTTTGATTTCTTTGCTTTTGCCTGCACACTCTGGGTAAAGAACTTCATACCACAAGAAATAACCTTGGTTCGTGTCTTAAAAGCTCATGCAAATGAATGATTGTGATGTCATGACCTAATGGATATGCATATAAATGAGAAGCAAAAGCCAACTAGGGTTAGAAACAAGAGGACAAATTTTGGGGTACAACAACAGTGGGAAAGCTTCGGTAGTGTGGTGGTGATATATTTTTGATATATGATAGATAGTCTGGTCTAGTAAGAAGTTTTGGTCTGGAGGTCCTTAAACAGCGGGTCCATCTTAGGTGGTGAGAGGGTATTGTGCTCGGTTGTATCTTCGTGGGCATGCCCGGCGAGTCACACCAGCTTTGCCACCCCTAGTCTTGTGTTTCTTGGGTAGGCCTTCACCTTATGAAAATGGAAAAGGAAAAGCATAGTGAGTTGAAGTAGGTGGCCTCAGGAGCATGCTCATCAAATACTTGTCTCGTCATTGAAACATTTTGCAAAGTCACCCCTACACGTTGCCCTAGGTTTGAAGGTAGAAATGACATTTCCTAGAGTATTGGAGTATTATGGGGAACTAACGTTCAATCAGGGATGTTGGATGGCGTTAGCCCGCTTCCCTAGATCTTATAATGTTGATTGTGTAGTAACTAACCAAGTAATATTTGAAGGTTCAATGGAGAATTTGTTCTTTCCCCAACTTTTGTCGCTTGTAAGGTTTAAGCACTCTTCTGTTGCTTACTACGCTTTCACCTCCATTTTCTGCTATCATTCTCTATCAACCACTTTTCTGAAAACTTTCATGGTTTTCCTCTATCTTGATTCACACGTATATAAGGAGTTTCCTTTCTTTAAAGGTAACAACCCATATCTCTTTTCTTCTTATATTTGCTTATCATTTGTCAAGGTTCTTGTGAAGATGGTTACGAAAGAATCAAAAGAAGATATCACTATTTAGGATGGAGGGGTGGTTGTTGGTCTTAATTCTAGGAAAATTTCTAAGTATTTCAATTTCCAAACCTTGCCATTGACGAATCCAATTGTCACAAGTGACTTCAAGCGAGAACGAAAGGCTTAGACTTAAATCAGGATGCATTGTCGCACTTTTGGATATGACCCCACTAATAGTGAAGTGATATGGTGGTTGGAATCTAAATCTTTTGCTTATACTTATGGTCGTTCTTTTTTATATATTGCCAGCGAAGACCTGGTATCATGGGTGAACCGAGAGACATTGGACATATTTTCGTATTTGTTGGGGTATGTCCTTCCTCAGACTAAAGTGTACTCGCCTCGAAAGAGGCTAAAAGATTGTGCAGTTAGTACGAAGGATGTCTCCTTCCTCGTGAATATTATTTTTCAGCATAGGTTTTTGATTTCCCTTTAATGATTTTAAGGTAGGGTTCTTAATCTTCTAGGGGTTGCTCCTTCAACACTATATTAAATGAGCTTGAATCACCACTTTTGCTGTATGGTTTAATGTCTTTATTCGTGTGACTTTTCTTGTTGCGTTTTGATTGCTTTAGTCGTACACTCATCATGGCTTCACATGATAATAAAGTAGAGAATTTGGTGAAAATGTATTCAATGTTGGAAGAAAAAATCACATGATAACATGGGATTGTTAGTGTATGATGAAAAATACTTAACCAAAGTGACCTTGTCGTTGTTTATAGGTCCAGGTGGTCTTAGTTTGGCTTGTTACTCTTGACTTTATGTTGCGTCGGTGTTGTTCTTTGATTGTTTCTTAGAAATATACTTTAGATTATTTGGGGGTGATAGAGTAAAGTAGACCTACAAAGTTAACATTTCAATACCTAAGTCAGTGAAGTCAAATATATGTAGTTATTAAGAGTGAAAGTGAGATAATACTTGAAAATGACGCGCGACATGACTTATATATTGTAGGCGGTTAAAACCGCCTCCATTTATCCTATCGTGTAATTCGGAGAATCATCTAATTAGATTCAACGGTGGTTGATGCATGAACAATTGAGATTAGGCGTCTAATTCTTTGACGAGGGCCCCCTATTCATATATCTTTCGTGGTGGCACTTTAAATCGATCCTTTATAATCGGACCTGATTCTTTAAGCCTTTGGCCGTCCCAAAATAACAAAGAACGAAAAAAATAAATGTACTTAATAAAAATTATGTATTGGATTTTTAATAGTAAAAAAATCCATGTTAACTATGGTAGAGAATAACATGTAAACTTGAGATTTGTCTTTGTTCAAATAATAAAGATAAATATATCTATTATATATGACGTCAAACATAATAAGATGAAATTTTTAATATTTAAAAGTTATTGTTCTCACTCCGACGTCAAACACGATAAGATGAATTCTTTATATATTTAAAAATTATTTATATATTTAAAAGTTATTTTTAATATTTAAAAGTTATTGTTCTCACTCCGACGTCAAACACGACAAGATGAATTATTTATATATTTAAAAATTATTTATATATTTATAATTATTGTTTTCACTCCGACATCAAACATAACAAGATGACGCCTATTAGTAGAGGTATTCAAATTCAAAATAATCAGAAAATAAAAAACACACAAAATTCAAAATTATTGAATGTAATTGATGTCATTTTACTAAAAAAATTCTGAACATATCAGATTTATTGAATTTTAAAAACCAAACCAACCTGCATAAAATATTATTTTAATAATTTTTCTTTTTTATATTAGTACAATGTACTGTATTATATTAATCTATTATTAATTGATTCTAATTTTTTTAATACAACTTATTAACCATCTAGATTGTCTGGTCTCAAATTAATGGTCGAGACCACCTACCGCATGTAACTACCGCATGTAACTACGTGATTCTCCTCAGCAGAAAACCCAAGTTCCTTTAAGATTGCTCTCACAAGACTCCAAGTTCATAAGAAAAATTTATCTTTTCATTTTGGTTATATTTATGAATAAACCAAATGGCGTGTTATTTCCCATGACAATCATGAATAGAGTCTCTCCAAACTAGATTTTATACTATTTACAATGGGGAAAGCAACAGAACCAATATTAATTAAAAACCACAATAACTAATTTATGGAACTAACTATCTACAATGTTTTGATCAATGCTCAAAGCTGGTGTGGATTTATCATTTTCATTGTCAGAATCAGAGCTACCAGTATCCATTTCCTTCCCTGAACAGTCAATTTGGTCACATTCAACAACTTCATTGTTGTAATTTCCAAGATCATGACACCTATTTGAAGGTGCTAAGGCTTCTTTCTTGACAACATTTAACACAATCCCATTGTGAATCTTTTCGGTCTGCAAAATATCACCTTCTGTTATCAGTAAGCTAGATCCGCTAACAACCCTGTTGTCAATTTCCTTCTGCTCAGATTCTGAGTTCCTATCTGGTCCTGTGAGTCTGAAATTATGATACTGAAAATCACGTGAACTGGGATGAGCCACCGCACCTCTATTTAGTTCAGTATCAACACCGCCCTCTAAGTTTTGGAGAAAGTCGACAAACATATTTGCCGAAGCGGTTCTCATCAAAGGGCCACCAGATCTGGTCCAAGAAGTCAAATCAACATTTTCAGAGTCGCTACCAATGCCTTGATGCAACGAGGAAGCAACATCTGTAAGGTCTTCAAGAGAACCTGTAGAATTCTCCCGTGCCATGCAATTCCATGAAGGAATTCTTCTTGAAGCACTGAATCTGACAGTACTTGACAAACCATGAGACGCAGAAGCAGAAGCTCTCTCCGCAACTCTTTTCAGTTTTCTCATATGATTGAGAATTGCCACGGATTCATCAAGAGCAAGCTCAATTTCACAATTTGCTTTTATGGCTGAAAGCTTCTCCCAGCTGCATCTTCTCCCTTGGTTTGCTGCTTTTTGAAGCTCTCCATAAGAAGGGTTCTGTATAATTTTTGAGTACTGAAAAAAAAAGACAGGTCAAAATTTACACGAGTTAATCACTTCTACTCACTTCTACGCTGAATTATCCTTAGTAAATAACATAAATAAATTCCTAAACCTTTTGTGAAAATGCGTGATTATAGAGAACATTGATCATTCAACAGAGTTTTTTGTTCAAAGGCTTTGATGTTAACCAATTAAACCTCTTCAAATTAAAATTTCGCTGTTTTTTTTTAATTAAAAACTTGAAATAAATATGTAGCTGATACTTAAATAAGTCACATACACACCTGAGCAAGGGTTGCCGGCATAACAATAGTGACATCACCTTCCCATTCTTGAGCAAATAGTTTGGCAAGTCCACCTAAGGGAAAGCCAAGTTCCAGTACTTGATTACACCTATGTTTCACCTCCATCACCACAAGATGGGCAAGCTGCACAATTAATTAAGAACCATATTAGATTAAACTCTTTCAAGATTAGAAGTCATATAGAATAATAACACAACGAATAATATCCAATTGTTAATATGTGTGATGTCTTGCAAATAATTATTGACAACTATCCATGGATTTTTTAAGAGCCTCACATTGAATGAGATAAGGCTTGAAAAAGTTTATAAATGAGAAGAGTTCTTATCTTACAAGCTGATTTTTTAAGGGTGGAGTTAGGCCATCTGCTAAGATTTGTTGTGCCACATGCTATCAGTCACAAATATCTGACCACTTTGGTCACGCTCCAAATGTTCTATCTTGGGCGCGAGGGGGTATAGTCCCCCATTAAATGAGATAGGTCTGAAAATGGGGAAATCCTCACACCTTACAGGCAGGTTTTGTAAGAGTTGTTGTTAGGCCCAACTCAAATTCTAAGAGATACCACCATATTTTCAATCATACAGGTCCAGTGGGAAAACATAAATACTAAATTACTCTGCACAATTTGAATTAATTATTATCTATGTGTAGCTATTGATCTGAATAAAAATCATGCTTATCATTTAATAAATGGTAACCAATTATATAAATAGCAGAAATGTAAATATGAATGTGCTATGCATTTTCTTTGCAGAGGTTCAAGTCGATGAATATATGTATGTTACCTTGGCAGCAAAATTGCCTCCATATGTTCTTACAACCTCTTTCAATCTCAACAATGGTGCAATGTGAGGGTTGGCTTGACTGACTATGAAATGATTGACATTGAATAGCTCTTTCAACTGCATCATAGGTAAATCAATCTCTAAGCTACCATCCCTCCACCGGCGTGATGGTGTGGAGCCTTCTTCGGGGCCTAGATTAAAAGGAGGATGATACGGAACAATATCTCCGCTTCTATTCTTTGCCATCAATTCTTGAGCTTCAAAAAGGCCTGGGAAGGCACAAGAAGCAGTTACCGCACTCCATATAACGACATGAGGTGACGTCAAGTAGTTAAGACATCTAGGAGGTTCATGCTTCCTCGGGGAGCAAACCGTAATTCCAAGAACTCTACCTGTCATATCATAAGCTTCTTGAAATGTAAGGTTGTTCGTTAAATGCCTCAACAGCATTTGCAACTGCCTGATCTCATGAACAGCCCCGCGCGTTGCGACCCTCTTGACAACCGCGAAAATCCCACCCATTTGATCGAAAAACTGCAACGAATGCAACGAATCCTCGAAAAAACTCTGAAGCTCCGGCCATGATCTAGTGGCAGCAATAGCACACATAATAGATCCAACGCTCGAACCAGCAATTATCCTAGGCAGGAGCTTATGTTTCACCAAAGTTTTAACTACCCCAACATGAAAAGCTCCAAGAGAAGCACCACCACTTAACAACAAAGCCGTTCTCCCAAAAGCATGTCTAGTTTCATGCATAAAAGCAACCTTTTCTTCCAACGACAACTCCTCCGAATCCGACTCACAAACCATTCTCAACTGCGTCGTTACCTCATCAAGATACTCCTTGATCAACCTAGGAACTTGAAGCCTACCCTTATGCAATTCCGGGTTACACATATTCCCCAAATTCCGAACAAGATCCGCCCGCATACAAAACATAATATCCCTAAGCGACCCCTCGTGCCGCCTATGACGAAGCTCTTGAAGCTTATTCCTAACCAACTCAACATCATAAAGATCAGACTCATTCATCTTTGGTGTCAATTTATCAAGCATCTTAGCTCCATGAGCCCATTCATCATAAGTCAAAGCACTTCTCATCATATTTCTCCAAAACTTCCTCCTATAAGCCATTTCAGCTCTCACCTTCACACTTGTGTAACGTTTCAACAAGATAGCAACTATTGTGATTATTGCTAATATCCCTTGTGGGTTTCTTGGATGGAACCATGATAAAAAGGGTTTCAATTTCAACAACCCTTTGAACCTATACAATAATCCTAACAAAAGTTGAAATATTTGATACATTAAATGAGACATGGATTTGCAGAATAGAACCCTGAAAGCAATTGTTTTGCCAAGAATGTCTGAAGGACCAATTGGAAAACGGCCAACCCTAGCTTCATTACTAATATGATCCATTTCACCTTGCTCAAAACTTTCTCACAAATCAAAAAACTCAAAGCTAAAAACTTCAAAGGATTATGTATAAGAGAAACTGAATATACAGTGGAATTTCAGAAGATGGGTTGAATTTCTAAGTTCATGTGCTACCAAATTAGACTAAGTTATGATGAAATTGGGAATTATGAAGAAAGATAAAGATACGAAGTTTGATTATCTGTTTTCCATGTTTTACTGGACTAGCGTGTTCGATATATATGTAGTTGTTGATTAAGATGGGACGATCTATATTTTAATGTTGGTTTTTTATTTATTTATTTTAATTTAAGATACTGTTTTTGAATCTAGCCCGTTTAATCTTGATCTGCGGTGAAAAATGTATGGAACACGTGAATGCGATTATTTTTCAGTATGCAGAGAATCGTTGTGCATAAAGATGCTTTTGTGATGTGGTGACTCGGAGCCTAGTCAAAAAGACACGATGACGAGGATAGAATAAAAACAAATTAAAGAACCATATCCAAATTTATTTATTGCGTATAAAAATGAAAATTCAAAGTTATTTGTGGTTAGTTAGATGATTGTCTTGAAGGAAGGATAAGGAGAAACGTGGCAGCCAAAACGTGACAAATATGTGTTTGCAAAGCAACTTGCAACTTGCGACCAACTCTAATAGGAGTTTTTAGAGTGGATTTGTCAACATAACACTCATATTTGTTGTTTTCAAGATTGTTATGCTATTCAAAGGTTCTTAGAGCATCTCCAATAGTGCAACCTATTTTTATGTTCTTCGTGGGACCCATCCTTTTAAAGCAATTCATTCAATTTTCACTCTAATGGTACAACTCTAAAGAATCTATATTGGGTCTCACCACTTTACTTAAAAAGTATTATTTATATTAAATTTATTTTATTTAAAATTATAATTTAAATATTTAAATTTTAATTAAAATGATAATTAAAATAACAAATAAAATTTTATATCAAATTATAGTTTTTATATTATAAAATTAATATTTTAATATAAGAACCATTGAAGAACCGTTGCATATTTAAGAACTTTTTCATCTTGAAAACAACAAATATGAGTGCCATGTTGGCAAACCTACTCTAAGAACTCCCATTGATTTTATAATATAAAAACTATAATTTAATATAAAAACTATAATTTAATATAAAATTTTATTCATCATTTTATTTATCATATGAAAACTATAATTACAATATTAAAATATTGATTTTATAATATGAAAACTATATTTTAATTATAAGTTTAATTTGAATTTTATTTATTTTAAATTATAATTATAATTTCAATTTTTTTTAATTTTATATCAAATTTAATTTAAAATACTAAAATTAACTAAGGAGAGATTGAAATATTTTTTTAAGTTTAATCTAATTTTTTTAAAGTTTATATAGTAGAATGAAATATTTTTTCTTAAAATAACACTATATACCCATTGGACTTTATAGTACTGAAATAATTTTCTGTAAAAAATTAAAATTAAAATTTTAAGTGATATAAAATTTAATAGGAATAAAATATTAAATATATAAAGTAAAATTGTGAAACCCAATATGAGTTCTTCAGAGTTGCACCATTGGAGTGAAAAATTAGTTGAGTTGCTTCAAGCTGACGTGGCTTAATAGGTCCCACAAAGAACCCAAAAATGAGTTCACGGTTGAAGATGCTCTAATAATGAGAAGTGGACATTTGATTCTTGGTTAGAGCGAAATAATGAGGGAAAGCAAGAGTTGAATACAAGCGAGTCCGTAAAAAAGGAGAGCAAGAGGTTCGAATCACATCAGGACTGTCAAATAGGACGGGGGAGGGGGGAATAGTGAATTTTTTTCCACACTCCCGTGGTTTTAGAAATTAATTTTCAGAATGTCACTTTTTTTAATCAATTTTTCAAATTGCCACATTTTTAAACAAAAGTGGTTTTTGTCTGAACGCTTCTGCCCTTCCAATGGGCGGCAGAGACCTAAAGTATTGGGTGTCGCCCTTCTAGTGGACGGCAGTGTCCAATTTCAAAAAAAAAAATTCGTTTTAATTTTTAATTCTTTTTAAATATATATTAATAATAATATATATTAATAATATTAATAATATTAATATTTATTAATAATATTAATAATAATAATAATAATAATATTAATATATATTAATATTATTAATATTAATATATACTAATATTATTAATATTAATATATATTAATATTAATATTATTAATATATATTGATATTAATATTATCAATAATGTTAATATTAATATCATTAATTAATATTATGAATAATGCTAATATTAATATCATCAATAATTTAATATTAATATAATCAATTAATGTATAATATTAATTTACATTTTTTAATACATAATTTATATTAATTGATATCATTAACTAATATTATTTAATACATGATGATTAATAAAAACACTAACGATTACTTGTTCCCACACTGGGACACCGGGTTCGATTGTGGCCCGTTTGATGACACATGAAACATTTTCTCTCAAGCTTATCAAAGTTATCCATTTCCGTTGTAATAGTGTGCTCACTGGGCGACTTTTCTTGTTACTACGCATTTTTGGGTTATGGCAAATTTGATTTCCTTCATAAACGGGCCAATATTCATCGTACGACATCACTGGAAAGCTTGTGCTGTAAACCCCAAACAGGTTTGTAACCCTATAAACGTCGGACAAAAGAGCGTAAGCATCGTGGCGCACATTCAAACATGCAGCGATAACATATGAGCAAGGGACACGATATGCTTGAAACTTTCTGCAGTCACACCACTCGTTCAAGAGGTCGACCTTATAATGTCTCATAGGCTTCCCCTCACCATGGTCCGTTGTCTCTTTCACACGGAAAACATTGTTAGTGTAGTCAAAATTTTTGACTTGATGTGTGCTGGATTTTGTTGTTTCTTCTTTCATCACCTTGAGGCAGTTGTCTGTAAATGTTTGGCCAGAATTCAACACAACACTCCACTTTGCACCCCTTTCAGCAAATAAAGATCCCAACGTATAATATGTTGCCCTTACCAATGCTGTAATGGGAAATTTTCGTGTGCCTTTAAAGACAACATTCATTGACTCAACAAGGTTGGTAGTCATGTGACCCCAACGTCGACCCCCGTCAAATGCCCTTGTCCATTTTTCGGATGGAATATTGTCAATCCACCTTAAAGCATCTGCATTTGCGCCAATCTCGGACCGATAGTAATGAAATGTTGGTTGGTTTAAAGCGTACCCTGAATAATTAAAATATCAACCAACGAAGGACAAAAAAATAATATATGTTATTGAAAAAATTTAATGAATATTATGAAATATAGTTACCCGTGTTAATTATTTTTTTCCGTAGGTTCCTGTCATTGATTTCTCTTATAAAACTTTGTGCAATGTGTCGTATACAATAAACATGCACTAATGGGGATCATGCCAACCATTTTTCACATTATTGTATGCACTTTCAATTGCTGCATGTCGGTCTGAAATTAAACATAGATCTGGTTGTGGCGCAACATGCCTCCTTAAGTTTCTCAGGAAAAAACCCCAACCTTCAGCGGTTTCACCTTCCACAAGGCAAAAGCAACCGGAAATATATTGTTGTTTCCATCTTGTGCCACTGCAATAAGTAGTGTACCTTGTACTTATCGTATAACCAGGTTCCATAAATTTGAAGTATAGGTTTGCAATAGGCAAAACCTCTGATGCATGGTTGGAATGCCCAAAATAGTCGGTGGAAGATGTGTTTTCCTTCAACAATAGTTCCGTCAGCTGTATACATGGGTAGTGTTTTCATTTCCAGCATAGTGCCCTGAACAAATTTTCTAAGTGCTAACAGAAAATGTGGAAGTTCATTGTATGAGCTCTCCCAGTTACCGTACACCTGTTCAATTGCCTTATTTCTTGCTATCCATGTCTTTCTGTAAGACGGAGTAAAATTGTATTCAGAAACAATTTTACTTATGTAAACACTAACCTTAATAGAAGGATCCTTGTCTACAAAAGGCATTAATTTCTGAGACATTAACTGCGAGGTTAGTTTTTGATGATCCTGATTAAACAAAGTTGTTGAACAACTATGGGGTGGGTTCATAATGCCTATCTCCTACAAGTCACTTCTTTTTCGGTAGGACGCCAATAAATGAAACTTGCAGGAATCATTCTTGCAACAAATTATGTATCTCTTCTTGTCAGAATTTGTCACTTTATAATCCATGCAGTGTTTCATGTGGTATTGCTTAATGGCAGCGACACAGTCGGCTTTATTTTTAAACTAGTTAACGACTTCTATGTCACCCTCAATTGTAATATGAGGACTCCGTGGCCAATCAAATGATGTTTATTATACATTTAGCAGCAGGGTTATCATATGCGTCAGTGGGATGAATACATTCTCAACTGGAATGTATTGTTTATCTCTATTGACTTCGTTGACATTGTTCCCTTCCTCAAACAAAGTAGTAAATAAATCATCAACCTGTGCCTCGTTTTCTTCTTCGTCGTCTTCTTCTTCAACATCTTCGTGTGGAATTATGGATGGATTAATGACCTGTGCAAATGTTACATATAATTCAATGTGCTGAAACCCAAAACGTTCATGATTCGAGAACATCGTTTCAACATCCTCGTTGTCACGAACCTTTAGTGGAACAAATTTAAAGCAATGGTCCCCGAAATGGACAACATTTTTGTACGTAATCTGTGATACTGATCCAGCTTGCACCTTCATATGTACCTTATCTTTAAAATGTTGGAATGACGATCTTTTATTAACACTGAAACGGGTTACGTCAGTGTTTTCAAAAATCAAACCCACTTCATCTGATACAACAACATTCCCATTGAAATGAGCATTAACAATATATTGTTGGCTAGTATACATTATGTAAGATGATAGTGTGAACAAATAATTAAGATAAGTAGTAAATAAATATTTGAGTAGTAGAAGTAAATGTTTGAATAAGAAGATAAGTAGTAGAAATAAATATTGAGTAGTA